GCGGGAGCGGGGCCGGGCGGCGCCTCCGCCCCGTGCTCCCCGGGGGGCGGCGGGGGTCGGCGCCGGGCCGGGGCCGGGGCCGCGGCTGTGCGCGGGGAGGGTCGGGCGGGCTGAGGGCGATTTTCTGCCGTGCCCGCTGCCCCCCGCTTCTCTCCTTCCCTTCCTCCCTCTCTCCCTCCCTTCCCCATCTGTTACAGGCGTGCGGAGCGGTGGCTGTTTGAAATTAAACGTGCCCTTTGCTGCACCAGCTGGGGTCTGTGATGTATCTGATAAATGGAGCTCTGCCCGTCGGCTTCAGGTCATGCGAGGAAAAGGGCAGCGCTGGGGAGGGAGCTGGGCGGGGTTTCCCTCCGCTTTTCTGTCAGACGAGAGGAGTCTGGTTGATGTCTGCAGCAGATAAAGGAGACGAGGATCATCAAAAGACCCCAGAGCCCTTTTATCTTCCTGCTGTTTCTCCCTATAACTTCGTTTATCGGTGACGCGGCGTCTGCCTGCTCGTTCCCCCCAGCAGGGGCCGGGTGCACCAGGCCTGGCTGAGGTAGTAGTTTGTGCTGTTGGTCGGGTTGTGACATTGCCCGCTGTGGAGATAACTGCGCAAGCTACTGCCTTGCTAGTGCTGGTGATGATCAGCTGCAGACGAAGACAATGACAATGGGAATCCCCTTTGTTTTCCCGGGATTGGATGCTGCTGAGGTGGCAGCGGTTCTTTTCCTCCTCTCCTCTGCTCCTGCCCAGCCGTGGCTGCTGGGACCCTGTCAGTGGGATGCTGCTGCTTTTGCAGCCCGGGTGAGAAACCATTAGTTTCACGCTGCTTGGAGGGCACTTTAATTTAATCTGAAGAGCAAGTGTCTGCATTTTTTCTAGAGCTTACACCTTATTATTCACATGGCACTGCTGGAAGGTGGATTTTCTATTTCGTGAAGACCGAGTGATGACTAACTTGTATTTTCTGTGTTCTGAATATGCAAAACTTGTATATCTGATCTTAAATGCTCTGATTTGAATAGTAAAGGATCTGAATAGCTAACAGAAACGTGAAGTATCTGATTTGTCGCTTTCCTTACAGTGAGAAGATTGTTTCACAGTGTAGTTGACTATCATTGTACAGCTTGGTGCCAGCAGTTTTTTACATGAACTTCTGAGATTTTTATTTCTGTACTGTGATTTATTTTTTGTGGAAAAGAAACCATGAATCTTCTCTTGTGAATTAATTAAAATTGCTGGTATGTATGTTCATAGTGTTGGCTGAGGGTATCATTTTGATTGAAATTCAGTGTGTTGACCGCTTATTACTGTGGCTTAAACTTGAAATACAAATTAAAATTAAAGCATTTAAATAAATGTGCATAACTGTGTCTTATGTTTTTAAAAATGAGAGTTAATTTTTCAGCCCTTGTGAGATCTGGCTGCAAGCAGGTTATGATTAATCTTTTCAGTTCACAGTGAAAGTTAATGCTATAGCTGAGCACTTCAAAGTTGATGTATTAGCACTGGTTCCAGTTCACAGTCCTCACGTATTATTATTGGTAAGAGTTGGGTAAACTTTGTGATATTTGTTTCTTTGCCTCATTTTTTAAATGTTTGCCCTCCTGCATTTAGAACACACACATAAAGGTTGCTCTTTCACCTCAGCTGAATGTAAAGTGCCCTGCAGAATATAAGGAATGTTCTCGCTGGCAAGTTGAATTTAGTAATACTTCATTTGTATACTGAGCAGTGCATTATATGCTAATTCAAGCTCTTCCATAACATAAAGCTAAAACATTTTCATGCTCATAATAGCATGTTAAGTGTTCTCTTTGAGACAAAATAGCTGTCAAATTTTAAATGTACTCTGGATTGGGTTTTTTTGTTTGTTTTTCCCACTTTAACTGAAAATGGCATGGGGATACAATAGATGCCTGCTTTTCGCATCCCAGGAAACAGCAGCTGGCAAATAAACCCCTTCGAGGATTACTCTGGAAGTTATGGTAATATTTTCACCATCTACCTTTAGGCATCTCTTTTAGCTGGGTAACCTACCAAGTTTGTCTTTGAGTGGAGGTGGCAGAAAGAGATCCTTGATGTAAATCACAGTTTCAAGCACCCTAACAAACATAATTTGATCTGAACGGTCCTTTCAGAGGAGTTTGCCTCTGCAGGTTGATTGCAAGGGTGGTGAAGGAGCTTCAGCTAAGCTAAGTGCCTGTAGGTGGGTGGTGTGAAATTGTCCTCTATCTTGCTTTCTTTTCCTGTGCTCAGGGAACTTGAGTAAAACTAGGATTTGGCTCCCTTTGTGTGTGTGATTTTTCTTTTTTTTTTTTTTTCCTGGGCTGAGCAAATCAATGGGAAAAGATGTTCCAGTACCCTACCATTAAGTACGTATTTACCTCCTGTGTAAAATCTCTCTCGTAAACTTCATTTGCTGCCGAAGTAATCAATTCTTTGTGCAGTGGATTGTAACTTCAGTGTTCAGGAGGGTGTCAAGAACCCGTGCTAAAATAAGACAGAGCTGCTAAACTAATGCAGGTTGGGGTGGGAGATTGCTGCTGAGCGGTTGTGCAGTGGTTTGTCCTCATGTCCATGTAGGAATTAATTATGTGTTGCTTGGTAGGTTTTAGGTACATAACAATGATTTCCTCAGGGAGGTGTGTTCAAGATGCATGGTTCTGCAATAGGGATAGCCAGACCTTTCTTAGTGCAGAGCACCCTTGCATATAGAAATCAGAGACCAGATGAGTCTATGCTTAGCTTTGTCATAGTACTTATTGCTTAACTGTCCAACTTGCACAGCTTATTTACGTGAATAATGCTGTGACATGATGCTTCAAGGCAAAAAAGATTAATTCTTAGTGCAGTGGAGAGCCTCATCTTAGTGATGTTGCAAAATCGAAGCTGGTATTACTGAAAACACTGTGTAGACCTAAAATGGAAAGAGTAGCTGCTATCTTCCAAATCCAGTGATCCCTTATTGTAATTTGATGAATGAGTTCGGAAAGAAAAATTGCATCATGCCAATTAAAAAGCTGTACTGCTGGCATGTTATTGTCTATGGTATTGTTTCTTGCTGATTTTTTTTTTTTTCCCCTTTTATTCTTCAGAAGTTTCACTCAGGCAAACTTCTTGTGTGAATTTGTTATAGAAATTAAAATAGGCACATGGCTGAGTTGATGGAATTTCTGTGTAAAGTTATTTAGTTTATAGTATCTCTATTGTGTATTGTTTGCTGTGCTGGATGAGAAAGTACTGCAAGAAATGTTCTTCCGTAGCTTTTCTGAGCACTTCTTTTGACTCATGGAATAATAAAAACGTATTGAGATTCACAGCATAGACGATTAAGCTTTAGATGCTCTTATTCCCTGGTTTGATGTCTTTTTGTGCTATTGTCTTACCTATTTTGTGAAGAACAGTCACCAGCTGCTCACCCCTCCAGCTACTGTCTGTCAATGCTGCTTCTAAAGATACTGGCAGACATCAACCTAAAATCTTAGATTCCAGATAGTTGCTTCCCTGCAGGGTGCAGTTGCCCTATCTGTCACCAAGGAGAGTGCCGTGTTCCCATGCAAAACTGGTATTGGAGCACTTGCCTCCACCATGGCTGCCCCTGTTCTGCTGTAAGGGATCCTGGGCAGCGCACATAATGGGCAAGACTCCTGCTTACACCAGGGAGCAGCTCACGACAGTAAGGGGAAATGCCAGTTTCTAGGGAGTTACATCTTTAAGCACTTCAAGTATATAAGCACATAAGCATTTGAAAGATATCAGTGCATTTGATAAATTTTGTGTGTTGCTTTTCACAGGGTGCTTTTGTTTCTCTGCTAGAATGAGCATTAAATTAACAAAAGTAAATGCACTAGAGATTCTTAATGAAAATGAATCACGTCCTTTGCAAGGGGTGAGGACTTTGAGTATGTCTTATGCCTTGTCCCACAAAGGAATTAGTATGAAATTGTTGGCATTGAATGAGACGAGGTAATACCTCACTGTCTATGTCAAGGCTTGTTGTGGGAAGAAGGGTAGTGCCCTGCTTTTGGTTCCTTTTTGAGTT